ACAAATATAGAGCCATGTGACAAAGTGCCATTTATTCCATAGGCATATAATCTAGCATAGCATAGTAATAATAATAGCATAATAGCATAGCATTAGTAGCAGCTAAAACAAAAAATGTAAAGATCTTTTCATCACGGCAGAAAAAAACAAATCCTAGGCATCTAGTCTATGACATCTAAAATCTGGAAGGTGGTACAGCTCATGTGCTGAGCACTTGCATGTTCTTTGGACTCCTGCAGAAGTGGCACGTACCCAACAAATTACTAACATCTCCACAGGTTTAATAGCCAATGGGTTCTGTTATTCTTTTTCCTTACAACTATGAAAAGACAAGATGGAATTTCTGGTGAAAAAGTGTGTGTAAAGCATGGATTTATCATTTAAAAATGTATAGATAAATGGGACATAAGCCTTGAGGTTCAGTTAGTGATAAAAAATGTTTTTAGTCTAATTTTATGTGTTTCATTTTGTTTTGTTTTTCCCAAAGCGAAATTATTGAGTGTCCATGATCTTCCTAATTACTGATAACATTCTTCAGCTAAACTCCAGTGTATGTTAATAAGTTAACAATGGGAACTAACATACAAATCTAGTGCAAGCAAATGCTTAGTAAAATAGATTTTAGGTCTAGTTTCCTGGAGGTTAATGTGGACGATGAAATAAGATTAAATATAAGGGTTTTTTCCAGTTTATTTTAAAAAGATTAGAAAGACTGACTCACATAAGAGAGTTCAAATACATAAAAGGCTGCTGCAGAGGGGAAAGGAATAATTGGTTCACCTCACCCATAGCAGGGAAAATGGAAAGTTACAGGCTTAAATTATAATAAGGGACATTCAACATTGGGGCAAACTTCACAGCAGTAGGATAGTGAAGCACTGTAATAGAGTGGGAAGTGCTGGACCAAATTGTCTTCCAGCTGTGTTTTTCTGTGATTACCATGACAGGTTGCTATGGCTGTCATTTTTCAGAAGGACAAGAAAGTCCTATCCAAACCCGTAATTTGAAGTAGCAGTTATTTTGTTTTCCTAAACTGTTTAAAGGAATGGAACATATTACTGATTTTTTTAAGTCTGTGTGAAGGGTCTCTGTTGATATCCCAGCCATTACATGTTAGATGAATCTACTTCACTATTTCCTTTTTCCAAGACAGGTGAGTTCCTCAGGGTGACAGGTGTTTCACTGACACTGCAGTGTTGTTGCTGAAGTGCATTAAAGCAGAGAGACATTCATTTTCAGTAGGAGGGGAGACGGAAATTCTTGAAGTCATAATTTCTTTAATAGAAAGTTGCCTCTGAAATACAACACTGTGCAAAACTTGTTTTCCTTTGTTCTCCTACTGTGACTGCCTAATTCTATTTATTTTCCTCTTTGTTTTCTTTACCCACATATATAATTTGGACTTCATTTTGAAGTTAAGCTTCTCCTCCATAGTTCTTCATGACCCATTTGTACTATGCACAATAGAATCTGAGGGGTATATTTGAAGTGTCTGGCAGACTGAGCCAACATCCTTCAAAATTTGCTAATAGAAAACTGCAAACTCTAAGGAATGCAACAGGAACCAGATTTCTCTCCTATTGTGTTTCATGATCCTTTCTCACAAGGACAGAACACTAGTAGCATTTAATACTACTAAATGCTGCTAGCTCTCAGGCATTCATCAGTTATTAGTCTTGAAGGTCAATTTGTCTGAATTTTCAAAGAAAGAAACTTGCTTTCAGAGTGTCATCTGACTTCCTGGTATATCAACTGTGTCTTCTAGTTGCTATTTTGAAGGATGAAGGAAGACCCAGGTGGTCTACTTCTTTTGTTCAATAATAGGGAGTCACTATAAGACATCCTTTATTTAACTTGTATTTATGTCTTATCAGAAGGGGGAAAGGCTACACTGCCTTCTCCTGCTGTTTCTGAGCCATCTCTCTTTTCCTTTTCCTGTGTCTGCAGTGGCACTCTGATGGATTCAACTTTGTCCTCTCTACTCCTCTTGCACAGTACTCCCCAAGCTATGTTTTTCTGTCTCTCTATAGCTTTTCTAATTCAGATGGCTGAAGGTTTAGCTTCTGGTAAACTTAGTTAGTTATAACTCTATTCCTTTGTCTACTTCAGTTATGCCACAGTGGGGATGGATTTGAGCGATAGGTGGCCTCGCAAGCCTACCAAGCAGTTTTATGCGCCCTTAGGTCCTGGAAGAGAACTACATGCAAAGCCCTGCTCTGCATCTGCATACCAAAATTCTGTTGAAAAGGTGACAAGAAGGTGTCATCGTTTTAGACAACAGTGACATGCTGCTCAGAATTATTTTTCTTCCCTGACCTTTTGTTTTAATATCACTGTCTTTGACATTGTTTCCTTTGCCTTTTATGCAATGACTTGAGAGCATGAATCTCAAAATAACCCTGTTTTTAAATATAATTACTGTAAGGGAAATCAACCCACTCTGTGTCAAACTGATCTCTTACTTCCATGGTCTTGATTCCACATATTGCAAAGCTTTTGCCAACCTTCCATCTCCAGCTGGTCTTTAAGAGCTATCTTTCAATAACTGAACGAAAAACAGACTTCCTATGCAAACTAATTATTTGTGAGATGACCCAAATCTAGCACAAACTTGTGTTCACAACTTCACAGGTTGAACCGGAAAAGTGCAAGGAGTCAGGAGTATGTGATGCTGGGTGTAGGTACCAATCGCAGCAATTTATACTGGAAATAAAAGCATCCTCCTATCTATTAAACATAATTTTGCTCTTCTTCTGAATGGCTCCTGTATATAGAGACAGTGTGAAGGTGAAATATGTTAGGTCGAGTCTTAATACTGTCTCTACTGTATCACTCTGTTGTGTGGTGCTCACAGACATTGTTGAGATTGTGTCCGATCTGTGCTGTAGAAAAGTAAACATGTTTTCTATAGAAATACTTGAGCTCATAATCTGAAGATTTCCCCTGTATGTAGTTCTTATATGATCTTCTACTTACACTGAACCAATGTTCACCTATAATATATGTTCAGTGTCAGTCAGGTGAACCATAGCAGTGATTTGATGCATCCTGGGGTTCTTCACTGTGTCGTAAAATGGGAGGGCACCTGGTTTGAGCCAGGATGAAGCCAATTTTCCTTTTACTGATTTTTATTTATTTATTTATTTATTTTTCCTTCAGTAAGCTTTCTTTTAACTAATAGCAGGGTGTTCCAGCTAAGACTGATAACGGTGGAATGTTTTCCTAACTGCTGCATCTTCAAGGTCACACCTTTACTTTGCTAGCTCAGACACTATGGGGAGATCTATGATGCCCCCGTAGGAGGCTGAATTAGACAGACAGCAAAATTGGCCAGAGATACTATATTCCATGTATCTATGTAAGCTCAGAGGAAGGTCAGAGATCACAGAAGACAACTTCTTTCCTGCTTCTTCTTCCCTTCTCTTCTGTCCATGGCTGGCATCTGGGGAGGACTCCGTCCATCCATCACCATCGACCCCTGGGCTCGAGCTCTCCTGGCCCTCAGCACTCTGTGCTTTCTCCGGCAGCAGTCTGGAATTTTTGGGAAGTGTTCACAGCTCAGGAGATGCTGTGGGAATTGCTGGGGGTGCGGGAAGGCAAGAGGCTTTTGCAGATATCTGAACACATTTGTATATAATTGTATATATGTTCTTATATCATTAGTGTTTAATTAAAGCTGTGCAGTTTAGTTTCTAATCCAGCCAAGTCTCTCTCTTTTTCTCACTCTCCTTCCCTACCTGGGTGGTCAAGAGCATTGTTGTCGAACCTGAGTCAAACAGTGACAACCATCAACTTGGTTAACCTGCTACTGAACTGACTTGAGTGGACTCTGCAAGCTAAACTTAAAGCTGAAAATTGCAGTTACATAGTTTGGTGTTAGACTGTGTATAAACAGATAAAAAAACCAGAAGTGTTGTATGAGGGAGACATAGCCCATAATGCACTATACGAGTAGAGTGGGTGGATAGCATTCATCATTGTAATGATTCAGAAGCTATGAACTGGGTTGTAATACATTTGAAAGAAGTGGCTGAGCCTTTTTTTTTTTTTTTTAAGGGATGGGTTCTTTTTTTTTTTTTTTTTTTAAAGAACAGTCAATCAAATTTGTGGGGTCACAAGTACTTTGTTACTGGGAGGGTGAAGATGCAGCAATACAATTTCACTGTGTCTACTTGTTTATGAATTATTGTCTCAAGAAGACAGCATGTTTCAGAGTTTTTCCAGGTGTTCTTAAGATACTGGGTTTAAGCCATAAAGCTTTCAGTAATTTGGACCATACTTTCTCCCTCTCACTTCAACACAAATAAGAGCATAAACAGTTGGCATTACATCCATCTCAATTGAAACCACTTACCAGGGAGTTTCCTCTAAATGGACGGAGAGTCTGCTGCTTCACTACCTCCTAGCCACCTGCTTTGCCTATGAATAAATGATTTTGGTATTCTTCCTGGAAAGCAGAATAACTCCCCACTCTTACTTTCATATTCTTTGAGAGACAATAACAATATAGTCTAACTATGTGAGAGCTATTGTGGATTTACTATTGTAGGTGGTGAATATTATTATGTACCCTGTGGACAGACAGTTATACGTGATATATATTGTAGATTGTCTGTTTTGTCTGCTTTAAAATTTTCTTTAAGTGCCTAGAGGTAGGGTTAAGTGCTTAAGTTGTAACTTCAGATAACTAAATAAATTAATAAATAATTGAAGCAGGAAGTTTCAGGTAATAAAGACAGCTGGCTCCTGAATAGAAAACACTGTAAGTCTTGAAACAGCAGAGCCAATAATAAAGGAGATGAAGTAAAAGCCCCAAAGAATTTCTTCACTGAAAAAAACCCCAACAACACACAAAAAAAAAAAAAAATACAACCCCAAATTAACGGGATTTATGCTTGGTGAATTAGAACCTTCATTATATGTGGTACAAAACTAATTACTAGGGAGCACTTTATTTACCTGTAATTTCTACTTAATAGCCACTGAACTTGTCATTGCAGGTATGGTTACAAAAGTATGGCTACCTTCCACCAACTGACCCCCGAATGTCGGTGTTGCGCTCTGCAGAAACCATGCAATCAGCTATAGCTGCCATGCAGCAGTTCTATGGCATTAATATGACAGGAAAAGTGGACAGGAACACAATTGAGTAAGTAACCAGTACTGAACTGCTCTTGACTTCTCTGTTTCAACCAGGGGTTATCCAAATTGTGTTGCACCTTCAGATGGGGAGTTAAAATGTTTCTTTCTCTCCTTGACTTTTTTGTTTGTTTGTTTTCTGTATTTCATGCTAGCAGGTAGCCATCTGCCTTGCTGTCTGCCTTTGGGCAGGAAAATGTTTCAGGGCTAACAAAAGAAAGGGCCAAAAGGTTATCAATGTGGAAGTGGAGAAACCTATACAGAATTGGCAAGAATTCATGAAATGTTTCACAGTGGAAAGAGTCTTAAGTGTAAATTTCCTTATACCTAGTGCAAAAAATTTTACCATGCTCCACTGGCCCATTCATTTCATGGTTTCCAGTAAGGAAAGACCAGGTGTGGTCATTTTAACGTGCAGTAAAATTGAATTAGGTTTGCATGCCCTTTGCAAATCTGAAGTTGTTTAAGGCAAGCAGCATCTGATTTATTGACAGACTGAACACAGGTAATCTTTGTGAAACAGAGCAATGAAAAGACACTTCTGAACAACTCTATACTATGCCAAATTTTAGAAATGTGCCAGAAAAAAAATAATTAAAAAAAAAATTTTAATATGCAATCAAGATAATGAATCTGGGACTAAGATTTTAAATGCTTGTTGGACTCATTCCCATTAAAATGCAATGAAAGTTATTTTGTGATTTTAGAAAAAGTTACTTTGCTTAAAAAGCAAACAATAAGAAAAGAGTAGTGTCACTACATATCCAACATTTAATTTATTGAAATATGTTTCTACTACATCTCTAAAATGCTTTTATGGGAGAAAAACAATCGTCCTTCATTTCCCATTTCCCAGCACAAACCTGATGTGCCATCTTTCATTATTCTTTTCTTGGTGAAGTAGCTGACATGAATGATTTTTCTGTCATTCAGAATTTAGGGAAGAGACCACCTAAAATGCTGGCAGGATTGGAAAAATAATTTTATTCTACTGGCACATGCATTATTACATTGAAAAGCAATAAAGCTAAGCAGATTTTAGGGCTGCCCTAAGGGCAGGTGAGTTGATCACACATCCCTCAGTTTAGGAATTTAAAGGACCTTAGAACATGCAGTGCAATAGTAGTAAACTCCTTGTGAGAGAGCCATGCTCAAAAGTATGTTTACGATCCAGTCTGCACAGTGGAGAGACTAGGCTTTTTATACAGCATCAGTGATTGATCCTTGAGGGGAGAATGCTGCTGTACCAGTCACTAGCAGCCTTTTAAAGACACGAGTGGCAGATTTGTAAGAAGCAGTGTATTTCACTAAAAGGAAAATAATCTGTTCACAGTTAGAAACACAGAGGACAGTAAGTGGTAACCTGAAGAAAAGCAGAGATGACCTCTGAGTTTAGGTATCAACTAGCAAGCTGAAAAAATCCCAAAAAAAGCAAAATTGCAAAGGGAAGTGGTTTGTGTTTGCTAACTTGATCTTGTTGGCCAGCATGTCAGCAAGGCTGCCATCACTTATTCTGCTATGAAAGCCAAAATGGAATCCATTTATGCAGTCCAAAACAGTAGTTTTATAATCTGGTGGAGACTGAGCTTCCCAAATGTTTTTTCTGCAAGATATTCTACACAAAAAGATATATTACAGTATGACAATTCTCAAGTACATATAACACATTCTGGATGAACTTTATGTTTACTTACACACTTGGAGTTGCATTAATTGAATCAATGTGGGAACAGAACTGATTCTTAAAGACCTGACACATTTCCATTGGTGTTGAGAAAAAAAAGCCTCATTAAACTAAACTGTGGAGTCAAGTTAACATCAATTAACCACTGGATATTCTTGGGAGATGAGACCATATAAAAATATAAATATTTTTATTGATAGTTTATGACAGATTTTGTAAATATTTAAAATAATTTTCTCTTCATCTACACAAGTATAGGTACTACCTTGTGGCCAGAAATATGCAACAGTTTACCATTTGTTTCTTTGTGATTAATATGTTAAAATCACATACAATGGTGGGATTACAAAACAAAGAGAACAACAGGAACATTGTAAAAATAATATATTTCTATCTTATGCATGGGGGTTTACCTGCTTCTCTAGCATGTCTTGAGATGATGATGTGCCTGTTCATCTTTAGAGGACAAACAACTAAAACAATTTATAGTAGTAACTTGATAGGAACAAACCTTGGGGATATTAACAGAGGAATAAAGTCCTATAGCATCATCATCTGAAGTCTCCTGAGGGCATTTTGTCACTCTGCAAAAAAAGATAATTCCTCAGAGAGTATATTGATATGTGTAAATATGAAGTGCTCATCTTCCCCCTACTACTCCCCATTCACATGTTTTTGCTATGTGTTTTAATCTATTTCCTAAGTGGCTTGAAAAGCATGACCCACACTTATTACTGGGGCAAGGGTAAGTGAATGGTAGGAAGAGATGTTACTAAAATAGTGTCAAAGTATGAGGAATATTCATTTCTGTATTACCAAATACAATAAACTGTTGACATCCTGGTCTTTCACATCCCTAAAACAAACCTACTTGTAGAAAGAGACTGGTTGTTGCCTTTTCCTAAAACTGCTATACATGTTTATTTCCAAAATGTGTTTTGCAGTTTGAAAGGGTACATCACAAACTTTTTGTGGACAGACTGAATGGTTGTGTACAGGATGCTGACAAAATCTGTGCAATAGTACCAAAGCAGTCATTTTATTTTAATGTTATACTTTATAAATAAACAGCAAATGTGCTTCTTTTAGTGCTCAGTTGAGCTTCTAACAGTTTACTTAAAAGTCCACAATAAAGATGTAATATTTATGTGTGATCTCTGTTATTTATATATTAATTCTCAGTAAAAAGAGGGAACTGTACATTTGGAGTTGTTGAAATCGACTCAGTGATCTAATTTATTAGTAAATGTTTTTGTACAATGCTATACAGAAGGTCTTGTTCTTTCAGGAAACATTCTTCTTAAAGAAGTGTCAGCAAAGTCCTGTAATTGTGGAGTACAGTGGGGAAGGGTAAGGATGTTTGGAAAACATACCTATCTCTCCCCACAAGAAGTTTCATTTTTGGCATTTTCCTTTAATGTCTATAGGTTTTCCAGACAGTAAGGCAAGTTGCACTGAATCAAGCAGGACTGTTCTATTTTCCTTTTTTCCTATAACTCTGAAAAAAACCCAAAACTAAACCCAAACCCAACATTATACAGTCTAGCAGCAATTTTTATTAGGGATAAATTAGGTGCGGTGTTTAACCATGGGCAGGGTGTTTTAATGTTTGATTCTGCATTAGATGCTTAAGAAAGCTTAAGAACTTGAGGAGATAGAGATTTTTCTTCTTAGCCTCCAGAGAACAAGATGCTGTTAGGCAGCTGGCTTGAGTTATGAGAAGTTCAGTTTCAGCTCTCTCCACTGAAGAGCATTAAAATTTTGCTGCAAATTTATATTTTAGTCTTTTCAGAATTTCTGTGAGTCTAAACTGTCTTAATTCTCTTGACTTATATAGCTCCTTGCGATTCAAACTAATGAAGCTAAGAGAGGAATTTGATGTGACATAGCTTACAGATAGAGTGCATTAGTCACAATTAAGCCTCTTATTGAGTACTGATAAAACATTAATTTAGAGAGGCTGCTGCATAAAGGTTTTCCAGAAGTTCAGAAACAAAAAGATGAAAAGAGAGGAAAGGTCATTACCAGTATGTACATTGTAAAATTAAAACCAATTAATAATAAAAAATAATAATTGAACTCCAACAGCAATCAGGAATATGGAAGGCCTTGATCATATGTTAAAAGCAGCTGTATTTGGAAGCAAATAGAAATTATTGTCAATTTGTCATTTCCCTATCAGATGGAAGATTATGTTATAAGCTAAGTATCCCTAAATGTCATGAGCATTAATGATTACTGACAGAAATCTTCCTCCCTGTCAGTGAGATAGTTGTTACTTTTTAAAAAAATATTAACACTAAAAAAACAAAGAAAACCCACAAAACAAAGAAAACAAAGCAAAAACAAAAAAAGGAAAAAGACGTGTAGGTGCCACAAGTTTTTTATATTTTGCTTCATTTTTGTGAAACAATGGAATCCAATAATGAAGAAGTAATAATCTGTTTAAAATTCTGGCTGCCAAACGTGTCTGAAATAAGGTATAGGTGATAGACTTGGCAATAGTCCAACTCTTCAGCTGCAAATTACATATTTCCTTAAGTTTTACATGAAGATTATTTCCTGAAAGCTGGTGAACCACTTGTTCAAAGGCTTCTATTTGATTTACACTGGGATTTATATTGTGTGTTTACCACAGTCCCAGTTCTTATGTAAGAACAGGGCCAGACAGTGATGAAAGCATGAAACATCCCTTACCCATGCAAACTAATAAGGATATAAGCATAATGTTCCTGATAGGTACATAACACTTCAAAATCAATGCAAGAATAAATTACGACTGCTTGAATGTCGTAACGTTATTTTCGGCTATGTTTTTTTTTTTGTTCAAAATGGATTGTCAGTACTTCTAGCAATATAATACAATGTTGAATTTTACATCCATGCTACCTGTTGTTCTTGACTTTTTGCATTAAATCTGAAGTGTAAAATGTTTTATGTTACCATTATTTTCTGTAAGAATACTGAACCTTTGACATAACTCAAGGGATTATTTCAATAACAATTTTGAAGATTATTTTTTATATTCACAACTTGGAATGTTTACACTTATCTGCCCCTGGCTTGCCAGTGAGTAAACCCTGTTATTAAAATAGGTTTCCATTAGTTAAGCTGACTAATTTAAACTTTTTTTGTGTGTGTGTTAAAGTCATTGCCCTCGTACTAATGCAACTATAAATTATATGTATTTTATACAAGACCCTGACATGTTTGTGCTGTGTTTCTTACAAACTATAATAGATACTAGTATTTGCTTTACTATTTGTTATGTTTTCTTTTCTTTTGATGTAGAAATACCACCTTAAGGTGAGAAAAATTGTCATTTTTATATTTATATCTTTACTGAACTTGTGTGTACAATTTCAATAGCATAATTTAAATAAACTGTCACTAAATTGCATAGCAACTGCTTGCTGATCTCATATGTACTGCAAAAAAGTGTTACTGACAACGTGTCTAAAAATGTTATGATTTTAATCTAATTTACTGAAAGCATTAATATGATATTATTTTACTTCAAGGAATAGAATGGCCTTTTAGTTTGTAACTGAGATCTGATTCTTTCCTTCATTTGTTTTTATTAGAGGAAATTGAACTTTTCAATAATATTTCATCCCAGAAATCATTACCCTTTACTTTGTTGAATCGACACTTCTTTTTTTAGAAACAGAGGAACCTGAAGTAAAGTTTCAGGGTGTTTCAGGAAATACTTGTGGGATAAAGTTTTACAGATTTTGCAATATTGTCTTTGTGGACACTAGGGAAATAAGATAGTCTTCCTTGCAAAGACACATTACAGGAAACTGGTTTATGTGCCATGCATGCTTTGTAGTTGTTCTGACCAGAAATTAGAGCAAATAATTCTGTGTTTCTTCTTTGAAATAGGTAACTATGAATTCAGTGTCTTCACTTCAGGCAGTCAAACTAATAAGTTTTGACTTCCCCACTTGTACTACTTGGTGGATGTGTCATCCATCAAAGTTTTTGCAGGCACTGACCTTCTGTAGCATGTATCTGTACAAGTGGGGTTCAGTGTCACCTTGGTACTATCACTAAAACTGTGTATTTTCCTACAGGCTGGTGAGCTTATCTCCTACTTAAATATTTAAACAAAAGTTTGCTATATATCCATAGCTACAACATATATGAAGGGTTATAAGTCTGGCTGTACTTTTACAGTTGTTCACATGTTTAAGAAAATTAGTGTGACTGATTTTGACTGGATTAGCCCATTTAGAAAAATTAATTCAGTATGCAATGTGCTTTGTCTGGTATTAGCAGGTTTAAAACTTAAAGTGTACATCTCATTCCTTGAATACAGAACTGAAAAAATGAATTATTTCATTAGATTGTGTATTTTATTTTTTTTTATACACACACATACATACTACTCCTTTATATTGCAAATACTCTTCTGGACAAAATGAGACAGTTATCTTCATTTTGCATATGTTGAATTAAGAATAATTACACAAAAAGTTGAAAGACGATTGGCTGGTTGGGGGTTTTTTTGTGTTTTTATTAACTATGCATGTTTTACAAGGAGTCTGCTATTTGAGATGTCATTTCTAGTGACTTTCCTGTCATCCAGTCATGTATACAGCTTCTGTGTGTATATTTATTTATGAAACAATCCTTATATGTCAGAAATTCATTCGTGCAACCCTGAATATAGAGTATGGCTTCTCTTGTGGTAGATACAATTGGAAAACTATAGCTTTTACATCAGTAATTATTTGGCATGATATAAATAAATTCAAATGAACTGGAAAAGTAACAGATTTTTTTCTTTTACTTATGCAGTTAATATCTTTAACCTTACTGTCTTCCTGATGGTACATTGTTCTGCTGCTATTCAGCTCATATAAGAAAACAACTTCAGATGAGTTTTGTTCACTTTTACTCAAACTAAACAACCCCTTATATTACAAGAGAGAAATATTTCATTGATAGTGCTGTTGAACTTATGCTTTTGATTTAGACATCATCCTAATTTTGACGTATTTGGAATGCTGGCCAATATAAAGTTTTTTAAATACTGGAAAACATTGAAAAATTGAAGGCCATTGTGCAAATCTAGCACGTATGCTTCTGCAGTGGTTGTTTTTGTTGGTGGTGATTTAGACCTTCTCAGTTTCATTTTGTGATGAGGCCTTCTATAGTCAACTGGAAGTAGCCAGTAGATTGCATGCCTTGGTGCTCATGGGTGACTTTAATCACCCTGATATTTGTTGGAAAGCCCACATTGCCAGGCATATTCAGTCCAGTAGGGTCTTGCAGTCCATCAGGGATAACTTCCTGATGCGGGTAGTGGGAGAACCAAGGAGGAAAGGTGCACTGCTCGACTTTGTATTAAGAAATAAAAAAGGTCCTGTGAATGTTAAGGTTGGGAACAGCCTTGGTGACAGTGATCATGACATGGTTTTAGTTTAGTGTTTTACAAGGAAGAAGCAGGGCAGTAAGGAGGATTACAACCCTGGACTTCTAGAGGGCTGACTTTGTTCTGTTCAAAGATCTTCTTGCAAGAATCCCATGGGCTATGACTGGATGGTAGTGTGGTCCAACAAAGTTGGTTAAATTTCAAGTGTCACTTCCTCCAAGCTCAAGATAGGTGCATTCCTTTGAGTAAAAAATTGTATAGGAGGAGGAGGAAGGAGACCTTCATGGATGAGTAAGGAGCTCCTGAAGAAAGTCTTGTGGAAGAATGAAATTTACAGTTTGTGGAAAAAGGGACTTGTCACTTCAGAGAACTATAGGAACATAGGAACGTTGTTAAGGTGTGAAGGCAGGCAACAAGGAAGGCCAAAGCCCCTTAGAACTAAACCTAGCTAAGGAAGTAAAAGAGAACCAGAAGGGCTTCTTCAAAAACATCAGTGGTAAAAGGAAGAAGAGGGAAAATGTGGGCCTACTGCTGAGTGAGGTGGGAGCTCTGGTGACAAGAGGATACAAAGAAGGTAGAGTTGCTGAATACCTTCTTTGCTTCAGTCTTTACTCCTAGAACCAGACCTTGTGAATCCCAGACTCTGTATGTAAGAGAAAAGGCCTGGAGGAAGGGTGACTCTCCACTGGTCAATGAGGATTGGGTTAGAGATCAGTTAGGTAAATTGAATATATACAAATCCATGGGCCCCAGTGGCTGAGTGCTGAGAGAGCTGGCTGATGTTGCACTACCACTCTCCATTGTTTTCGAAAGATCATGGCAAACAGGAAAGGTGCCTGAGGACTGAAGGAAGGCAAATGTCACTCCAGTCTTCAAAAAGGGCAAGAAGGAAGATCCCAGAAGCTACAGACCAGTCAGCCTCGCCTCCATCACTGGAGAACTGATGGAGCAGCTCATTCTAAAGGTCATCTCTAAGCACATGGAAGAGAAGAAAGTTATCAGGAGTAGCCAGCATGGATTTACCAAGGGGAAATCAAGCTTGACTAATCTGATAGCCTTCTCTGATGTTGTGACTGAATGGGTAGATTCAGGGAGACCAGTGGATGTAGCCTATCTTGACTTTAGCAAGGCTTTTGACACTGTCTCCCATAATACCCTTGTGAGCAAGCTCAGGAGATGTGGAGCAGAAGAATAGACAGTGAGATGGATTAAGTACTGTCCAAACAATAGAGACCAGAGGGTAGTGATCAGTGGTGCAGAGTCCAGCTGGAGACCTGTAACTAGTGGGGTCCCCCAGGGATCAGTGTTGGGTCCAGTCCTGTTCAACATCTTCGTCAACAACCTGGATGAGGAGAAGCAAATTTGCAGATGATGCCAAACTGGGAGGATTGGCTGACTCACAGGAAGGCTGTGCAGCCATTCAGCAAGATTTGGACAGACTGGAGAGCTGAGCAAAGAGAAACCTATAATGAAGTTCAACAAGAATAAGTGTAGAGTCCTACACTGAGAAGGAATAACAGATTGCACTCCACCAGGAGTTTGCATCCAGTTGTGGGCTCCCCAGCTCAACAGGGAGAGGGATTTACTTGAGAGGGTCCAACAGAGGGCTACAGGGATGATTAAGGGACTGGAACACTTGTCTTATGCGGAAAGGCTGAGAAAACTGGGGCTGTTTAGAGAAGACAGAGAGGGGATCTTATTAATGTCTATAAATATCTGAAGGTTGGGTGTCAAGAAGGAGCTAATCTCTTTTCAGTGGTGGCCCTGTGTTAGGATGAAGGGCAATGTGTATACAAGCTAGAGCACAAGAAGTTCCACCTCATCATGAGGAAGAACTTCTTTACTGTAAGGGTTACAGAGCACTCAAATAGGCTGCCCCGAGAAGTTGTGGAATCTCCTTCTCTGGAGACTTTCAAGACCCATCTGGTTGCTTTTCTGTGTGACCTGCCCTAGATTTTGTGGTGGTCCTGCCCTGGCAGAGGTTTGGACTCTAATCTCCAGAGGCTCCTTCAAACCCCTAACATTCTGTGATTCTGTGCTTTTGTGAAATATTCTTAGGCAAATTTCTTCAGTTAAATATTTCCACTAGAAGCTTACAGTGGCAAAGAGATACTCTTCATTGTGTGGAAAGAGTAAGACAGAAGAACTTAATATTGTCATAAAATTAGCAGTTTCAGTGTCTTGAAATAATATATATATATATATAATCTGGCAATTGACTAGGCTCTTTGATTGAAATAAATTAAGGCTTGTTTCAAAATCATCATGATGAGACAAAAGAAGGATCACAGAATAAAACAAAAATAATTTAGAAATTAATGATTTGACTAAATCTTTGTGTGTGTACTTTAACTTCACCTTCTGCAAATAAGCTAGTAATACAGATTGTAATTACCTCGAATGAATCAGAATAAATCATTGGTTGCCAAAGAGTTGTCAAATTGTTTGTTCAGAGGTTGCAGCAGAATAAAAGTAGGAAAAATAACAACATATAAATTTGTTTCTGAATGTCACAGGAGGCAATGAAGCACCACAAACTCTATATCTGGTATCAAGATAACTGTTCCCTTTGGTGGTCATTGTTGCATCTAGATGCAAAATTGGCAATACCATAACTTCAAAAGTTTGATGTTTTTATTAGTTAGGTGCAGTGCTTATGATTTTTCATTCATGTTGTTTTAACTATGTGGTGCTGTTTCTTGCAGCTGGATGAAGAAGCCTCGATGTGGTGTGCCTGACCAAACAAGAGGTAACTCCAAATTTAACATTCGTCGGAAACGCTACGCGTTAACAGGACAGAAATGGCAACACAAACATATCACTTACAGGTACCAAAGATATTCATATAGAAATATAAATGTCACTAGTAGTGCTGACTTCTAATTTTAAGCAAATATATACTTATGAAATATTTGTCAAAGTTTTGAGAAATTTAGTATTAATTTGTGATTTAAAAATGCTGATTTTGATACCTCCTGGAAAAGTATGTATATGCTATAGAAGAACCAAATTATTTTACTGGATAAAATAGCATGCATTAAGTAACTAGTAAATTCTCTGAAGCTTTTGGCATTGATTTAACACCAAAAATGTCCTTAGCCTTACCTTTCAACCCTCTTGGCAACTTCATAGAGAACATTGCTCTGAAACTAGGAGCACGGCTATGAAACTCAGATCTCTAATTTCAGTATGTAAAACAGCTTATTGAGAGGAGTCAGTTGTAGCAAAATGTAGTTGCCTACAGGTCTGTTCTAAGTAAAAATGAATTTTATTATAATTTGATGACTCACTGACCCAACCATTTCCTGCCTGTTGATGATAGGCATAGGGATAAGAATGGGAAGGTACATCTGTGTAACTCTAGTGTCTAGCATGTAGTTAACACTGTCTTGCCAACTGTCAGAACTGATCTTCGCTGTGAAAGTTAGATACAACCTCTGTACATCCTAGAGCTCTGTCAACCAAAGAAAGAGTTGGGTATATAAAATAAAATCCATAATTTATCAGCAAATCAGGGATTCCAATACAGCCTGTTTGAAAATTTTCACAGCCTCATTGGGCTCATTGTCCCATAACACCTAACAAGGGTAAGTTCTAAGCAATAAAATTGGTTTTAAATTTATTAACTCCACCATTATTAATGAACCCATATAAATATGAAATTTTAAGTTCATAAGCTCTGTTGGTCATGTAGACTGTTCTTCATACCACAGTAAAGAGATAATTTTATTGGCAGCCATGACAATGCTATGGCTTATGTCTGAATTGGAGAATACTATTTTAAGACATTACACACTTATATAACTTCAAGCAATAGAGAGCTAACTGCCTTGAGATTAGCATATTGCTTTGACTGAAGTATTTTATTGTTAATGTAAATGTTGATTAGAATAAGAATTCTCACCTACAGCACTTTGCATTTAAATGTGTGTGCATATATATATGACAAGGCATGCATGGTCACGTACAAATATGTATATATCTGATTTGTACAGAGTGCAAATTTTCTCTATTTCATTACAATTTTTTTTATAGCAGTCTAAATCCTGCCACTTGTATGTCTTCTGTACTGTCACCAAAGGCATTAATCATAGTAACAAATAAAGGTGCTTGGTATTAAACTATGTGGCAACTATCTAGTAATCTTTCTCACTTTGAAGAATTTATGGCAATTCTTTACCTCCTGCCTTCATTTTAGTAAAATTTTCACTCTCTCAATTTGACAAGACCTTCAATCAGCTATAACTTTGAAGTGAATAAGCCTATATTTTTTGTTGTGAATTACAGAATGAACAATATTTAAAGTAGAAACCCCATGTTTCATTAGAATAAAATTGACAATATTTATATTTCTGAATTAAAAAATAACTCAAAGCAGGTAAGGACAACAGAAAAAGAAATAAAATTCTTTACGTTTCTCTTCACCTGTTTTGTTCTTTCCAGCAATTCCCTGCTTACAAGCTTAATGCCAGTTAACTGAATGATATTTTAAGTTGTGTGTTCCCTAAACATTTAATCATAGATCTAGCATCACTTGTCTGAACATTTTATAAGTGCCACTTCTCAGCTGCTTCATAATGTGATGGTTTCCAACTTCGTTCTGTGCCTTCTTGGCCTGTCAAACCTTCTAGTCTGAAGTGTGCCCACTAAGCAAGCTTAGTAATTCCTCCAAAGAAAGAACAGTTTCTCATTCCTCTTACCTCTTCCACTTTTCTGGAAAATAAAACCAAAACCCCACAAAAAGCACCCTCAAATCCAAGCCCTTGTGTCCCAACAGAACAGAAACACAGAATAAACAATACAAAATATGCCATCCATCACAGTTATCATAGGACTGCACTCACCAGCTTTTCAGAACAGGAAGGGTAATATTAAAAAAAATAATTGTATGGACATACCTATTATGTTAAAAAGAGACCAGATGAGCAGAACATGGACTTGAATAGCTGTTAAAGGGTTTTTTTAAATATTTTTTGTGGGTATTTTTGCCGAGAATTTAACTGGGGCAGAGTAAGGGAAGCTTTTCAAATTTCTTTCTTTGTTGCTCATTTCTAGAAAATATTTAATATAGTTCTGTAAGTGTATACGTTCTTGTTGGACTCTGTGAAATTTGCAAATGTGGAGTTTTTCTTTGTATGCATCACTATCAGATAGGTGCGTTTCCAGGGCTTAGGAGAGCCCTTTGAAAGAGACCAAAATCTACATTTACCACTCACTTTCTTTCTGGCTACTTGGTCTTAGAGTTTATTCTCAGGTGCTCTATATAAATGAAATAATTCCCACTTTAGGCAGAACATCAAGGCATTATTAATGGAAAAACAGAATTGAGATCACATATAAATGCATTTGAAACTGTGGCTACTTGTATTTTTACTCTAGCATTTTCTGTCTGTCACTTATTTTTTCCCCAAGAATTGCTTCTGGCACCTGTTAAATGTAAGTTAATTAATATTGTTCAGAATATATTTCCTCTTAGATTAACCTTGAGATTATGGGTAAGAGAATCAAAATAAATACACATGTGACAATATTTTTTCTATATTTCCATATTTTTATTTTGTAAGTTTTCAGTCTGAAACGGTTCCCCAAATTTTCAAGATGGAGCTTCAAAGAAGTGATTTTTCATCATAATTTATATTAATTATGTCCTTTTTGGCCTTGTATTACATTTTGGATTTAGGTGATAATTACTCTCAGAAAACAATGTCTGTGTGAAGACATTATCAAAATGCAGATTTCCAGTATTGGGAATGTCAGCATGAAATTAATATTGAGTTACATTAGTCAAACTTTCTCTCTCTCAGGGAATGCAGCTTTCTGATTATTAGAACTGGTGAATAGGTTGTTTCTTAGAATTTCTGTTTCTAATGAAGTTATATGGCAATATTGCTTACTGTATCTTTTCTGCCTGGTAGAGATCATGCCAGTGTGCCTTCTGATAGTTAGTAGTATTTATGTTGTATACTAACAAGACTTTTACAAAGAGAGAAACAGAAACTATTCAAATCTTTACCAACCAGAAGAGTATAGGAACAAAGGAGAACATCTAGGCTAAATGAAAAATACAGCTCCATCACAGATCAAAATATGAAGATCTTAATGGTAGAGGTTGTATTCTTAGTGTTTTAGACCACATCAAGTTACACAACAACCTCTCAACATTGCATAGCTCAGAGAAGAAATCTCTTTAACCTATTAGGGAATTTAAAATAAAATAAAATAATGATTTAAAAGTCATTCTGCTTTATTCTACTGTCTTCAGGAAGAACAAACAAAAACAATTTGATTGTTCAGCAGTATGTAATATTAAATTCATTAGTGGAGGAAATTTAACTGTAGATAGTCAACAGCTTCATCCCAAACCACTTAGAATTAATTTAATCTTTTCCTTTACTTCAGTGGACATTGGGTCAATCCCTAGATAATTGCCTTTTTCCTTTCTCAATAAGTTGGATCTATCCTGGATTTCAGCTGTCCAAAAACCAACAGAGAATGAAAGATTTGGACATTTCTAACTTTATGCAATTCAGTTAAATTAATTAATGCTAGCTGGAAGATTCAACATGTAATGAAAAGTCCTAACTACCTTGTTAACAATAGACTATGTTACTTGGATGGTCAGAATGATCCATATTGTGTGGAATTTGGAAAGTGTTTTTCTTGGGGGTATTAAAGCCACACTGAAAAGTAACAAAATAATGAATTCAGAAAAAAACTTAGAAAATACTGTTGATAGTAATAAGATTTTTTCAATAAAATAATACTAAGTGTGCTACAGAGGAATATTTAGAAAATACTTCCTAAATCAAGGAATTACACACCATATTAATCATATATATCACAAAGTCAGTATATGCTGAATTTCTTTGATTTTATGTGAATGAAAAAGACCAGCTCTGTCCATATTGAAATGGTAACATAAGCTTTGCATTGTGATGATGTTCACAGTCCATTATTTTTAAAATAGATGCTTATTTCAGCAGCAAGACATGAGCATATTCTCTTTCTATTAAAAATTAAAAGCAAAAATAAGGGGAAATAATGAATCTGGTTTTTTTTCAGAGATGCCAAGAGCATCCTAACTTAAACAAATTTGTGAATAACTGAAATGTCTGAAAACTAGCCTTCAATGCATGAGCAGTATTCTATGCTTTAAATCAGTTATACCTGAGTAATATATTTAAAAACATGCCAGAAGCATTTACAGAATTGGGCTGTACTTTGATGTAATTTTTTTTCTCTACATGCATATGAGGCCTACAAGACCTTAAGGCAGTGGAAATAGCTAAGCTCTAAAGTCCTACTCTATCATTTTAAGTCAGCAACAAAGTTTGAAGTTCTAAGCTTCTTGGTATCACAGAGAACACAGTAGCGTAGCAAATGCATGCTGGAATATATGGAAAAGTGATACCTCCAGGTGTGGAAAGTGTTCTGGGTGGCACAGTGAAGAAATTGTCAGGGTTCTCTGAAAACTGGTATTTTCAAGATGTCACACCCATGAGTTCTTAGCGTTCCTACTTTACATGTTTTGCTGCAACTCTGATGATTTACAGCTGCAAATCTAGAAAAATTTGTACTAGAAAACACTACTTGTTTTCTACAGTAAAGTGCTCATAAACTGTTAGACTATCTACCATAGGGTTTCAACCCTTAAGGACTAATGGGACAAGGTTGCTAGCAGTCCTGACACTATAAACATTATCTTTTGTAGTAAGCATAGATACAGAATCAGATGCTATTTAATGGCCTGTTAAACATTCTTTTGTCATTATAGTTCCATCTCCCACCAATTTTCAATCAGAAATATAATAAATGTAATTCTTGTCAA